ACGAGGGGTCCGGCTCATCAGTGGGTCTCCCAGCTTTCCCTATCTGCGGTAGATGCCGCGCAATTCGACTATCACTTAAACCTCACTAAAGCGCAGGTCATCGTCCTTGCTGTGGAGCATACGATGGACATATTCGAAACTGATGGCCGAAAAGTCGTATGGCAAAGTTTAATAGCCCCTTTAAGCATGCTACGCGGGTACACGGGAATCTTCTTGGTGGTGAAGGCGCGTCGAAAGTTTGAGAAAACTCGACGAGCAGCAGCGATTTGGGAGATGATGTTACACTGTCCGTTCGGCAGCAGCCTAGACACAAGGTGTTTCAAGCTTTCTTCTTCCTCCTCTTAAAATTGACGATCATTAGTCTAGAGAGATGCTTTTTGCTGGCCAGGTATGCAGCTTGGCACTGAATGCGATACACTAGGTCCGATTGCCCACCCGCGTCTAGTGTGATTTTAAAGTGCCTGCTTCTGATAAGCATGTTAGTTGTAGATGGACGAAATTGAATTTGAGGCCCTTCACCACGGCGGGAGTAGGGACTTGCGACAACGAGTCGCCTCTCCGAAGCGCTTGTCTGTGCTCGGTTATTCGCGAGATAAGCCAGTGTCCGGTCTGGCCTGTATAACGGCAAGGACAGTCACGGCACGAGATTAGGAAAACTACCCTATATTTCTTACTGGCATCCAGTCGGCCCGTAATTTGCATGATTCTGGTACACACGGTGGCGGTCGGACGATGGACGAACCCATGCCAAATTGCGTCCATGCGTTCTGTTGCTCTCGCCACTTTATTGGATACTTGGCTATTAAAAATCATTACTTCGTTGTACGCCCCTTCAGGCCGATTGTGTAGGACAGTGCGCGCCTGATCTGGTGAGGTGGATGTGGAGGATGAAGCCCTGTCGAAGGGTGGCATAATTTTGTTAGGTCTATGCCCGAATGTCGGGGAGGAATTGCGAAACCGAACTAACAGAGACCATTGAGCATTTTAAACAAGAAATGCAACTATAGTTACCGAAATCAGCTCTTCTAATTGCTGTCTTAGGACTCGCATCTTCGTTTTGATTAGCAATATCTTCGGGCGCAAAGCGCTTGAGTCAGTACGATGTTAGGAAGCCGTTGCCTGCTTGACACAAGTCTAGCAAAACGGGAAGTGACACCACATGGCAGGCGAATGATCTGGGCACTCACTTCGGGTTTTGAGGTAAATGGTTGCAAAGTGTACTGAACTCATCGGTGAAGAGTGAACTACGCTTTTGGCACATGCTGTTAGCAGATGGACCAAAGAACTAAGGGTCGAGGTAAGTCTCGAAATAGAAATTACTCGCTTCAAGAAAATAACGGCGTCCTAGTCCAAAATCTGTCCTCAAAACGCCTGAACGAACGAAAGAGCCGAATCAAGGAGCTTGCTTTAATACCGATCCGATCAACCTAGTGGCCCTAATCTTGCCCATTCTCAAACAAGCTGGACAACCTGATGAAATAAAACATTTATTTCGGGCGGGTAATGGATTCATTCATTCAGTTCTTTTCAACAAAGCTTCACCGCCGAAGAGGGATAATCCTATGTCTTGCAAGATCAGGGAACCTTGCAAATGACCCAGGATTTTAAGAGCTAGAGATTGTTCTGCGAAACAAGTGAAGCTATCGTATGGGACTGCCAAGCAAGTCATCACCAGGAATTGCATCTCAGCTTGCCAGAGAACTACGACGCACAACTTCAGGCACACACAAGAGATAAACAAAATATTAGAAACTTTAATACACGCAAAGAAATAAAGTTCGTTTGTAGAGCATGCAGTGAATATCCATACTACAGACAACCTGTAGACGTGCGTTCTCCGCAAAGTCACTGTCGCACTGGCGTTTCTACTATCAGATAGCATACTTTGATCCATTCTTAACATATGTGCAAAAATCCTTTGTTTGTAAAACACAAGCAGAAGGTTGGCAATAATTTGCTGTATTCGCAGTGGCGCTTCTACTATCAGACAACGTACTTTGATCCACTCCTTACATGTACGCAACAATTCATTGTTTTTATAACATTGTCCAAAAGTTGGAAATACTTTGTTTTATTCGCACTTGTTATCGAAGGGCATTTATTGAAGCGGCTTGAAGGTCTGCATCTATACGTATCATCGTACCCCCCCCCCTTAGGCCTGTTGGCGCGTGGTTCGCCTCATTTACGATGCAGCCCGTTCTGGTAACACGACACGTAGGGTGAGCTTATGGCAGGGGGTTAAGTAAGTTAAACCTGGGAACTGCGATCTTCCAGGCCCAGGTTCCTTAGGAGATGAGAGAGAAGTCTTGG